ATTTTCAAATTTATCTTATTTAGTCGAAGTCTAATTTATGCTTGAACTCACATAAGGCAACCAAAGGATACGAAAGTAAAACACAAGAAAAAAATTCTAAGAGTCGTTCCGGTTGTCAACTTTCTAGCCTAAGATGTGCTTCCTAAATGGTTTTGCTTTTTACAAGATCTCGTATCTCCCTAATAATAGAACCTTTTACGATTCTTTTTGTTTTATATAAAAGAACTTGATGCCTGTCGCGTTTTCTTACGAGATATTGAATAGTGTTATTTATTTCTATACTTTATATGAAACAACAGGATTTCTTTCGGTATCACTTAGTGCGTTTCAATAAACATACTCTTTTTATTATAATATCATGATTGGTCGGAATCTCTCATAGAGGAAACATACATGACAGCTTCATAAAAACAATCATATGTAGACACTATTAATGCATCTCAAAACATCAGAAAACATACTTTCCATATATTAAGAAATAGTTTGAAAAATTGAAGTCTTTAGAAAATTCAGTATTTTTCGTGTAATTTTAAATTTCGACGAAATTTTTTTTCTGGAAAATGTCCATATGCATATTTAGAAAAAACTATCGCCTCAAAAAGTTGAGAAGCAGAAAAGTTATACTCATAATATCAATATTATCGTTGGTTTTAACGTACTCGATGGTTTTCTTTCAATTTTGTCGTAGAACGCAAGATTGAAAGAATTATATTTCATGTACTTTAGAAAATGCTTTACCTGTTACAGTAGGTATGAAACATATCACTGTTATTTTTTCGTCTAGATAATAAGTACTCGTGAATTCAACCAGCACTAGAATCTCTTTTAATGGGAGTATCATTACCAAAACTGAGTAAAGAGAATCTCGAAACATCTTTTGTCATCTGGTTCGATGCAAGAATTAATGATTCTCAACAAAATGTCTATGCTCAACGTCAACTTCGACGATCAATCAATGATTTGAAGACCTTCGCAGATAGGAGTCTGTGCGAACAATATATTCGATCTTTATCTCCATATGATCACATTGTCTTGATTGTCAGTGGTCATTTGGGTCGCATAATTGTACCCCGGATACATCAACTGCGGCAAATATCATCAATCTATGTCTATTGTATGGATAAAACGCAAAATGAACAGTGGGCCGTCCAATTCAATAAGGTAAATAATAATGCGTGACGTAGAAGAAAAGAAAGCTTTTTTGTTTACGATGAAAGCACTTGAAAACTGTTTCAATATATGGTTCTGATTTTATTCCGTAGAAAACGTGATTTTCTGAGAAACTAAGAACATGATTTTTCAAATATGGTTTCTTTATCTACGCAATACTAGACCAGTAATACTCAATCGAGTTTTTGAGCAGGTGAAAATGATAAAATCATGAAACACGCTCAACACATAATCTAAGTCAATTGTCGAACAGAGTAAAAATTTCTACGTCAAATAATGAGTGCTTTCATGTACTTTTTTAAAATCTCACAACGTATATTTCTCAGAGAAAATTGATAACTGTAAAATGAGGATACGCTGGAAACAGGCCTTGTAATAGATCTTTTCAATCGTTCTGCATCTCACAATGAAGAAAGAATAGGTCCAAGAAAATCTTCATTCTGCGAAACTATCTTTCTGGAAAAGCATTGAATATTGCACTGTAAGTTTTAACACTTTTTGACGGGCACATAGGAAGTTTTGAAAAACTGCGAGAGCATCCAGAGCGCCGCAAAAGTGTCTTTCGTAAGATATTTCCGCATAACTCCACCATGTATGAAATACAATGATTTATTATTGCTTCATGCGGTAAAATCGTCGCCAAATTTCGATTTAAGAAGTGAAACGTCTTAAGTACTTTCGAAAGTTGCCATCACTCAATGAAGTACTACAACATAGTTTTTCACTATACAAAAGTACTTATCAAGTTGTAGGTGAAGTTAGCACCTGATTCGAGTATTTTTGACACCGACTCACACCGGTAACGTCCCAAGTGCATTTCGCAAGCTCTATCGATTGGTAAAAACTGCTTCTCAACATCTCCAACCATCACTGAGCAAAGTGAGAGTGTGGATATGTCTGAATGAAAATACAAGCCATACCCACACTCATACTTCGTACGCCGACTTCGGGCCTTCAGCAGTAAAGATCGAATCAGTTTGAACAGTTGTTAAAATTTTCTTATTAGTTTGGAGTGTGCTCGAAAGATTTTATACAAAAACGTGGCCGTAACTTTTTCTATGTTCATTTCGTTGCAGTATGGCTAGCTTTAATTACAGGAGCCATCAAAATAGTTATGATCATTGTTGTTTTAGATAAAACGTGTGGTCGTGCAGTTGGATGATCTTGTGGCTCAGATTCGATCCGATCAAGAGAAACGGATACGTGATAAAAGTAGCGAATCGCTAATATTCACCATTTTCAATGGTACTGATACTGTTCATGGACAAACAACAACTGAACTCAATGGGCAATTTCTATATTCACAACTACTGATAGACTGTCTCATTCGACTGAAACCAACACCAACAGACAGAAGTGAATTTGTTTATTTATGCAAAGAACAATTTAAAAAAAATACTGCTGAATTGAGAAACATTCACGAATTTGAACAACGCTATTCATCCGATGAAGCCTTGAGATGGTACACGAGACCATCGTTTATCTATCGTGTCTTGAATAAAGCTCTTCGTACACAAAATATTGAATTGCTTTTCCTCTTTCGGTTCTTCATTCATGACATTGGACGACAACTCGAACAACATCGAGCTCTATCACCTCTTCGTATATATCGAGGTCAGTTAATGTCGACTGATGAATTGAAGGTGCTACAAAATTCAGTTGGCAAATTCATTTCAATAAATTCGTTCTTCTCTACGACTGTCGATCGGGATGTCGCTCTTTTTTTTCTTGGAGACTCTAGTGCTAATGATAATTTGCAGCGAGTACTATTCGAAATTGATGCTGATCCTCGTTTTGATGGCATCAAACCATTTGCTAATATTACTTCACTCAGCTACTATCTAGACGAGGAGGAAGTATTGATAATGATGGGATCAATTTTTCTGCTGATTGATATTCAATATGAAAGTGATCAGATGTGGAGAATTCGAATGAAATTGTGCAGTAACAATGTCCATGATTTGAAAGTAATTAGTGATCATATGAAAAATGAGTATTTTGGTTCGGGAGAACCTAATCTGGGTCAATTCGGCAATTTACTTATTGGCATGGGCAAATTTGATGATGCCGAGAAATACTATCGTCGTTTACTCAAAGAACTACCTGATAATCATCAAGACATTGCACCCTGTTACAGTGGACTCGGCATTGTAGCTTTTAACAAAGGCAGTTATAATTTGAGTCTCCATCATCATCACCAAGCACTCAAGATCTTTCAACGAACATTAGGATCAAATCATCCACATCTCTGTGACACTCACAATTGTCTTGGCTCAGCTTATAAAAGTAAAGGTAAATACAAGCTGGCACTAAAATCGCACAAGAAAGCATTGGTTATTTATCAAGAAGCGTTTGGTGATGATCATCGAGATTTAGCTATTTGTTTTAGTAACATGGGTAATATCTATCATGAAGAGAAAAAATATTCGAAAGCACTTATTTGCCATCAAAAAGCTTTAAATATATGGCAGAAGTATCTTCCTGTTGATCATCCTCATTTGGGTTCTGCACACAATAATCTTGCCAATGTTCATTCTTCTTTGGGCCACTATAATTATGCCTTGCAACATTACAATCGTTCACTCGAAATCAAATCAAAGTGTCTTCCTTCTCAACATCCTTCGATTGCAAATACACTTAAGAATATTAGTGATGCATATGAACATATCGGTAAGTTGCAACAAGCACTATCATATCTCAAACAAGCAGCCACGATTTATGATCAGACATTATCACCCAATCATCCTTATGCTACTGGGATTAAGAGAGACATCCAACGTGTGGCTTCTCAATGGCATTGAACAAAACGAAAATATAACTCATAATCGAATGAATTCCACTGCAAAAGAACATTACGTTGATTATAATGACTCAAATGAATTCGACATCTCCAAATCTGTTTCGACGCCTCATCATACCGATAATTCTTTGAACGATTTTTTTTGCATATGAATTGAAATCATAAAACGATTCTCCATAGATACCCATTCAATAGTAACATTTCTTCAATTCCCAATAATTCCTTTTCGAACTCGTGCACGCGATAACAAATACTGAGTGATCAAAGTAATATCCCTTAGACAGTATTGAGATAAATATACTACAAATGATCAGGTAAATAAGGTATAGTTCGTTCAAAAAGTCCGTGTGTGTGACTATCTTTTGAATAACTCGAGAAAGCAAACCGCTAGAGACCTGCGGTTTTCACCAATCGAAAGAGGAGGAGTTAGCACGTCTTTTTCTCTAATAATGTGTCAGACGAAATTCTTTTAAAACTGATCATCTTTGAAAAATATAGAAAAGAATGCATGAAAGTGACATACAATACACATGAAGTTTCGATTATGACCTTTGATTTAGATAGAGGAACTTCAGATCTATAGTTCAAGATGCAACGCAAATAACTCTCTAATTGCATTCTAATGTTGACCAAATGAAATCATGTATTTACATGCGCAAATAATAGGGAATTTTGCTAATATTTTGCTACGTTTTTCCATTTTTTGTCAAAACAACTAGATACTTCGATGAAAATGTAATGAAACGTAAGAAAGTGCATTATGTTTTGAACTATAGATCTGAAGTCCCTCTATCTAAATCAAAGGTCATAATCGAAACTTCATGTGTATTGTATGTCACTTTCATGCATTCTTTTCTATATTTTTCAAAGATGATCAGTTTTAAAAGAATTTCGTCTGACACATTATCAGAGAAAAAGACGTCCTAACTCCTCCTCTTTCGATTGGTGAAAACCGCAGGTCTCTAGCGGTTTGCTTTCTCGAGTTATTCAAAAGATAGTCACACGCACGGACTTTTTGAACGGACTATAATTATTGTTTCAATTTGTTAATGATATAAGTAATACAATTGTAAATACAATATTTGTCATGACTGATATTATTTGATACTAATGCAAATGAATAATTGTTCGTACCACACCAAGCATGAGCTGTAAAGATAGAGACCGACTTGGAACTCCAATGAGCAGATTGAATTTCATCTTGCTGTTTTATTTCAAAATTTTCACTATAATCAACTTGAATTTTTTTTTTTTTATTATCGGTATTGGTCTTTGATTCTTCAAAAAATTTACTTTGTTGACGTTTAATGTAAACATGTAATAGAAATGTCTTCACTTTAGAAGATAATAATTCAATACCTTGTTCAACTGATCCTTGTTGCTCTTCTTTTGTGGCATAACCATTAATATGCTTCCATTGGTACCATTTTATTTGAACATGTCTATCAATAACATTATTTTTAATATTTAAATCGAAATAATTTTCACAAGTAAAACAATTAGATGACATACAATCATAATTTGACTCATCACAAACAAGAGCCGATGTAAATGAATATAAATTTGAACAAAATGATCCATTGACATGTTTAGATAAACTATTTAAAAGTAAATTCACGTTTTCATGGTATATGCAAATGCATACACGATGCGCCATAGACGACTTCACTGGAATATGTTTAGGACGTATTTCAGCAAAAGCCGTTCGACCCACAGAAATACCTTAAATAAAATTGAAGGATTAACAATCTATAGAAAAGCAACTTACCTGGATTCTCAGCAAGAAAAAGTTCGTATGCTTCTCGAATAGTATAAAGAAGAATTTTTTTTTGATATGTTGTTTTATTTCCATTATCGTTGACGACAATAGTATCACGCTTTCCAGGCATTTGGTACGAAATATCATCTCGACCATAAAATAAAATTATACTATTTTTTATTTTTGATGATAACTTTCGAGTAGTACGTTGATGATTATTTCGGGGCACAATACCAACTGCTTGAGCTAGAGCTCGAACGATAACTTTTTTTTATTGAAATCTTTCGAAAGAACACATTTTGCTTTTTTTAATGCCTTTCCGAAAGACTGTTTTGACAAGAAAGAATTTCTAAAGATGAGGAAAATTTTCATGAAGCATTATCAAACAGTATAGTACATACTTGGACTTTTTGTTTTTATTACGATAAGCTCTTTGTGATTCTGCATGTTTTTTATCATAATCTTGTTTTCTTGTGCCTGTTAGATTTTGACGATATATTCTCATTCGTACAGTATGTTTGGCTTTCATTATTTGATATAAGCCTTTGGCTTTCAAATTTTCACGATAGCGTTTTTGCTTTTGTGCATCTGTAAAAGGCATTATATTTTTATGAACGCAATCAATGTTTAAGACCAGTTTATGGTATCAAAAGATGACTTAATTTATTATAATGTCTGAAATGAGACATACAGGAAAATATATTTCGTGAGTGCGTTACTATTTTTTTTTCAACGGACAGAGATAAATCGCAACTTATATAGCCCCTAGGTAGCCTATGAAAAGTTAGCAACGGTTTGTACGTTAAGGTCAAATTGATCAAGCAGTTATGGTGAAAAACTAACTATAGACTTTGTTTGGTAACGCACTCACCCAAGAATTTATCAGGTTTTTAGGAGTTTTCTATTTTTTTTCGTGAAAGACATAGGAGCTATTATTGATATCAATGAACAGCCCGAATTTCGTAGATTCGAAACATATGTCAAACTTCAGTTGACAACTACTTTTTTAACTTTTTTTTTCTTTCTTTCCGTAACGACGTAAAGATGACATATATTTAAACCAAGATGGCGCCAACTTATGGCGAATACTTTTTCTTCTTTTAAAGAGATAACAGAATTCAAACTATATATTCTAAGACAAAAAAATGTGCTCTACAAAATAGCATAACTTATTTTTTTAAAAGTTCAATTTCTATTTTAATCACTTCGGTTGACCGTTAGCCGGACAAGCACCATACTAATTCATGAAAACCTAGTAGGCTGTGAAGTAGAAATTAGTGAGAATACGTATCAACTTTGGCACATACAGATCATTCATTGGAGAACAGTATTGAAACAACATTAAGTCCTGATATGTCACCACCGTCACTATTTTTCACAAAATCAACTGTGCTCTGGTATAACATATACGTTAAACGTAGCATTTTAAATTTCAAGAAAAAACATAATCCCTTGGAGATGGGATTGTTTTTGAGAAAATGAAACTCGACGAAGCTGCAAGGTAAGATTCTCATGGAATGTGTGAATCATTCTTCCAGGAAGAGAAAAGAAATACGTTCGGGAATGAGAACAACCAAAGTCCATAACCAGTGTTCTGAAAGACATCAGAAAAATATTATTAAAGATATTCATAAGTCAGTTAAAAAGTAATTCAGAACCAAACTACATATATGTGATCCCCATCTTTGAGGGATTAAAAGCTAAGCAAAAATGTTTACTTTAATTGAAAAATGAAGTTCAATGTTAGTTCTCACGTAATCTTATTAGGAGCACAACTAGGTGACAAATTGTAGAAACAAAAGACTCGAAATGTAGCTCAAACCTAATGATATAGTTGTTTACAAACACAACGTGAAACAGAATTATGCCTGAATGCCACTAAAAGCAACTTTAAATAGCATATAAGTGCAGTCAGAATGTAAAACGCGCATCCATGCACTATTGCCACTATGCGTTTTGATGTGCTCACGTGCGATAAATATTTTATCTGGTTTGCTTATAACCGCACTCATCACATGTATGAGATTTATGTGTTAAAGTCTAATTTTATTTTGTTTCTTAATATAAAAATTTTTGGACTAAAGAATCAAACGTGTCAGACGAAACGAAGTGCATATAATCGTATACAAAAAAAACCTCAATTCTTTAAATGCATTTACTCTAATTCTCACTGATTTTTCTTGAAAGATTCTATAAAATTTACTTGCACCTGAGTATCATTGAACATTTCATTCAAAGTAGAAAGAAAAAAAGAAAAATCAATCACTTAGTTTGAACTTAAAATTTAAGTTTAAATATTTTTATACTTTAAATAGAAAAAAGATTAATACGAGTGACATGAGTATCTCTTTCGTATTGATGCTTTAGTCGACCTCATTTTCGAAAAGGTTTAATAATGCGCAAACGAGCTACTGTGATCTTAACATTCTTGCTGTTGATTTCATCACCTTGTTCCTGTATGCAAAAATAATATCTCTAAATGTTATTTCCATTTTCAACTATTTGGTTTTACCTAAACTTTGGTAAAGTAATTTTTTCAAAGGTAATGTTAGTTTGTCTTTATTCTTCTTCATTATAAAGAATGAGTTAATATGAAACTTTTACCTTTTATGAGATTAGGATAAATAAAAAAAAGAAAATCATCATTATCTTTAAAAAAAAAAAGTGAGTAATTTCTTTAGTAGTAAGAAAACATAAATAAATGCTTAATTTACAAATAAAATAAGCGAAGTCAAACAATAACTTGTTCTGTGAAGACCTAATCTTGTTTTTTCTCGAAACTTCTACAAAAATTGTAGTGCCATAGTTACAAATATGTAGATATAGATAAAACTTTTCCATGTATTTTCATACAGCGTTCTCAACTTTGAATAACAATATATATTCTATTATTAACAAAATAAAGATTATTTATTTTGCTATAAAACAAATTCTTTTATTTATCAAAAAGAGGTGTTAATTTAATAATTTTCCGTCTTCTTTTAGATAGTGAAATTTTTATCACTTTTTATTTGTTGTTTATAAATATGAGAAATGCGTTTATTTTTATTGTATGAAAAAATTTTTTGATATTCATATACAAAGTGATAATAATCAACATTATTTTTCTTATAACTATAAGTGCTTCAAAAATTGTTAGTCATTCGGTGTATGAACATGTAACTAATTTCGAGCTGCAAATAGCTCGGAGTTACTTGTGTTCGGCTTGTGATCGATGCTCGTGTGTTCAAATCTTGGTTCGAGCTATCGTTGAAAAATTCCACTCTGTTGTTCACGGTATGGAAATGTTATATCATAGTTTGCTATGATGCGTCGGTTCGAATCCGACACAGAGTGATGGTTCTTTTTTCAAATTGATTCAGAAAAAAAAGTAAACGCATCTAGACGCGCTCATGTCTCTGAACGCATTCTCACGCTTGAAAATGTTGCATTTTGGACGCCTACAAACGCATCCTTATACGTAAACGCGTTGTGATGCTCTTATATGTCAAACGAGTTTAGATGCGTTTCTTGAGCCCCAACGCGTTTGAACCCCCGAAAATGTTGCATTTTGGACGCGTATAAACGCGTTAACTTCTATTGCATTCAACGCTTGGAAATGCGTCCCAAAACCTAAAAATGGTTACATGGGGTCTTTGTTTTTTGTTGTCCTTTATTGATGATTGGTTTTGGTGGTGAAAATAGCAACGAAACGAATGTTCAGTAGTGTTGCCTTGTGATCAGAGATAAAAGATTTTTGTAGCGATAATTGAGCAACATCTTAATAAGAAGTTTCTGTCATTCCAAACAGTCAGAAAAGTCAATTTGACGCGTTATAACAACCGTTTCGCGTTCTGTCTTTGAACACATTTTACACAGTGAAAAATGTTCGAATTTGGGCGTTTTAACAGTCACAATATTTTAAGCTTTCGCATCGTTAGAACGAAAGAAGAAGAAAGAGTTTAAATGTGTTTGTGATACCTGAGCGTTAAAACGCGAAAATTCGGACATTTTTGATTGTTGGAAACGCGTTCAACGAAAGAAAAAATAGAATTCATCGTGACGTGTTAGTTTTGCATTGTGGGCTGTTGAGAATGCATTTTAACTAGTTTTGTTTTATGCTCTGGTACAGATTCGACTGAAGAGTCTTATAATTACGAGTCGTCTAACGGCTTGGCCAAACGTGACGGAATCACGTTTTTACCCAGTGAGCATGTTGTATTTCAGCCAAATGGAAACCTATAAGACTGAAACTTTTACTGAAAACGTAAACCTAATTTCTTTACGTACAGCGTAAGTTACATTGAGTTTGCTCCTCTTATTTTGGTTTTCGGAGCACAATTACATGCCGTGACGGAATCACACAAAATGGAACGACATTTTCAGTCCATTGTGAAAAAATCGAAAATTTAGCTCAACTATAGATTTCATAAAAATCCGTCTGTAGCAAACTTGTAGCTTAGACAACAAGCTATTTAAAGGAAAAAGAAAATTTGAGAAATAATGAGATCTAATTTTTTACCACGCAAAATGCGTCGTGATGGAATCATGTTTTTCGTCATGGAATCACTTTTTCTGATGCCGGCTTCTCGCCTATAAACAAGGTGTTGAGGCCAACTTGACGTTGCTATACGTCGAGAGTAAAGTTCTCATGCGTAGGCTGAAAGCTCGGTTTACATACGTCACGATTTAGAAGTGATAGATTAGCTTTTCAGTGGAAAATACGCCGTTGGAAGGTTACCGTTACGTGGATAGGCCGCTAACTTACTATGCGACTATGGTTACGCGTTTCTAGTTAAATTAAATTTTCTACTTATATGAAACAAATACTCCGCGAAAGCAAACTAACACTTCTATAACTACAACAACTCTAAATAAATATTTTTTCGATAGTTTTTTGGTCTTGGGTATGGGTGTAGGTGTCGGTGTGGGTGGGTGTGGGTATGGGTATGGGTATGGGTATGGGTGGAAGTTACACTTTTCTCTAGCCACACCCACATCCAAATTAACCCATGTTTGAACATTTACCTCTTTTTGGAGGACATTTGGTAAAGCAGAACACATTATCTTTTTTACATGGACAAGTTCCAGTTGCACAGTTACCATGACAAGTACATGTGTGTCCAATTGTGGAACCACGAGAATAAAGCTTTGATGCTTCAATAATATTGATGGTTTTTAAACTATCAACATTTATTTCTTTAAATTCATCGAGACTCTCTCGAGGGTGAGGGTAAG